CCCCCCCCCGTTCCAAGCCAAGTCGCTGTCCTCTCTCGCATGGCTTATGGCAATAGCTGCTCTTCACTGGCCGGTTGCCCTGCTTCTGCCCTTGACCGACCCCACCATCATACATGGTCTATTCTCAACACGTGGGTCAAGGTCATCCTGTAATTGTAAGTCACATCATGTCATTCTCCTTGAAACTCTCTCACGATTCTCCATTTCTCTTCAAGTAAAAAAAAAAAAAGGGGATCTTTATGGCGACGCCCAAGGCCCCACGCGACCCTGTGCCCTGCTGACTGCAGGGCTCCATTTCCTGTCACTCTCCCCTTCTCTCAGCCTGCTCCGGCCACCCTGCCCTCCTCCCCACCCCAGGATCTTTGCACGTGCCGGCGCCTCTGCCTGCCACCTCCCATCACATACCCGGCTCGCTCCCTCGCCTCCCTCACCTACTTCCGTGCCGATCACCTTGACTCTTGCCCCTCACCCACTTAGAAACCCCCGGCCTTCTTTGAAAGCCCCGAAGAAAAGTCGCCTCCCCCGAAAAGTCAGCGGGTCACCACACCTAGAGGAGTTGCTTCTCCTCTCTAAAGCCACAAGGTGCTGCGTCCGAGCCTCTCCCACACCCAGCTTGTGCCGTGTGAGTCTCTCGTCACCTGTGTTCCGGTGGGGAGACTTCCGTGGGCTCTTCTCCTGCGTTTAACACACTTCTGGGCCCCCAGCGGACGTTCAACAGACAACAGTTTCCGCTTTTCCTCCCCATTTGTCAAATGGATTCTTCCCCTATGGTGTTTTTACCTATTTTTCTGTGAATAAATTCCTAACAGTTTCTACTGAATAGGAAAGGGGTTCTGGAACTATTTCTTTCATTAATAACAAATTACTTTCCTAACTGGAATCCTCATTTCTCTCCGTTTGGATTTTTTTTTTTAAATGACCACAGTGCCCCCTCGTGGAGAAATGCATGCAGGACAGGCCAGGACTGCTCTGCCAACAGGAGCCCAGCCTTCTGGGCTGCTGTGAAAATTGCGGCAAAGAGACCCACATTATGATTTTTTAAAAATCTGCAATACGTAGCTCACGAATGACACTATTAGAGTTAAGATTCTGAGTCCGGAGCTCTGTCTGCGGCTTGTTGGTTGGTTTTCACTCACGAGATCTTGTCTTCAGGCCGCTGGCACTTCTGTTTCTGAGGCTAAGCAGGTCAGGGCCACACAGATGTCCGTGTCTTTCCTTCTAAGGACTGCCTAGGGTCCCCTCACCCTTCTTTCGGGCCCCTCAAAATCTCCACCCTGGAAGACTCAGTTCGGATCCCACCTCTGGCCCCGACCAGAGCAGCGTGAAGATTTGTTCTCCAAATGGCAGGGACGGTTCTTGCCCGCACAGTTATGTCAGGACATGCTCGCTACTTCTCGGCTCTTTTTTAAGTTTTTCTGGACTTTTTAAAAAATGTATTGATCCTTTGCTTTTCGTGTATGCATGTCCTATCTCCCCCGTTGGGTTCGCGGGATGCAGTCCACTGATTTGATTTGTCCTGAAGAGTAGGTACCGGTGACCCCAGCCGCAGGCAGCAGCTGGGGTGCTTCCTGACCCCAGTGGGGAATGTAGAGAGAAGGCTGTGGGCTGCTCTTGGTTCGTTTACATCCGGCCAGGGGAGATACGAGACTCGCATCCGCCCTGACTGAAGGGTCTCGTTCACCTTGGGGCACGCACAAAGAAATCTGATGCGGCCTCTCCGTACCCCCTCTTCCCCTTCTCCCACTCCTTCTGCCCCCTTCCTTCCCCGCCCCCCTCGAGTAAAAGAAGATCAGTCAGGGAGGCTTCCTGTAGGAGGCGAGTTTCCACCACGGTTTGACAAACGAGAAGAAAGGGTGCATTTCATTCCAAGTCCGTGAAGTGGCACATGGAAGGTAGGGCGAGGAGGGGACAGGGAGCTGTGTGGCCCCTCAGGACTGATGTACGGTCTGCCGTCTTCGGTGCAAGTGGCTTCACGAGGTGTCAGCTCATGAGCAGTCCCGCCACCGGCGTGCCAGGGCGCAGGCTCAGACGCGGTCATGCGATATTTTGTGCTTCGTCCCGTAGGATTCGTGGAACGAGCTCCTCATCGGGGACGTGGAACTGAAAAGGGTGATGGCTTGCTCCAGGTAGGGCACCTCCTCCGCTGCCCCGGGAGGCGGGAGGCCGAGGCCACTCTGCTTTCGCCCTTGTGTCACGCTCTGTGTGTGCGTGTGTGTGTGCAGGTGCATTTTAACCACGGTGGACCCCGACACTGGTGTCATGAGCAGGAAGGAGCCACTGGACACCCTGAAGAGGTAGGAACGGGAGACCGAATATCTGTAGGGGGAGCAGGGGCTTCCGGTCTCAAGGCGAACGGGGCGCTGTGCACTCTGGGGGAGCATCCCCGGGTGCTCAGGTCCCCAGAGAGCCGCTCGCACAAACGCTTTTGTTCCTTATTTAGGATTCTTGAGTAAAACAAACATATATATACATATATATACATATATATGTGTGTGTGTATATATATAGCATCATTTAGACATTTTGGCAAATTATATTATGGACCGAGCGTTAGATGATACCGAAGATTTATTAGACACGATCATGGCATTGCGATGAAATAAGAAATGTCCTTATAGTTTGGAGAAAGGTGTTAAAGTGTGTGGGGGGAGTGGCATGATGTCTGGGGTGTGATGTAGATTATTTTAGCCAAAAAAAAGAAAGAAAAAAGGACACATGGAAAAAAATGTGTCCGATCTCGATAAGTAGAATCTGGGTGCTAATGACTTAGGGATTCGCTGCATTATTCTTGCTGCTTTTACGTTTACTTAAAAATAGTCATAATAAAAAGAAAAACTTCAAGCGAAAGACACCATGACCACGAATAAGTTTAAAGTGCATGGAAAGATAGTTAAGGCAATGTCGATTCAAAAAAGCGGACTGTGAAATGACATCTCTAGTATTTATTGTTCTTATTTGAGTTTACTTTGCAAAATCATAAACGCATATAAGTAGATAAAAGGCTGGATGGCTGTGAACCATCATGTTCGTGAAAGCGCTCTTTTGCTCATGGGATGTAAGAAAAAATACATACGTGCATGTACATATACTCGTATGTGGAATCCAGCCCGCACTGGCTTTGCTGGAACGGGTCGGGATCCGCACGGTTCGGGATCCGCACGCTCCGGGCTGTCCCGTGCCAGGCTGGGCCTGAGATGATGCCGAGACTTGTCTTCCTTGGTTCCTTCCGCAGTGAGCGCAGGCTCTCGGGCAGGGTGCCAGCTCTCATCTCTGCACCCCTGAGACTCTTGGCCTTGACCCTGACTTGTGTCCCCGGGCGTCACTTGTCGAGGGGGGGAGGGAAGGCGTGCAGGGGGGTGACATCCGCATGGGACAAAGCCCCGGAAGACTTGGTGGGGGAACGCAGTTGCGGTGTGGCCACCTGGCATCGGAGGCGGCGTAACAGAGCACGTTAAGGGGGTGACGCTGTGGGCTCGTGGCACCGGACTTGCTCCTCCGGAAGGTGGGTCCTGCTGCCTCCCCTTCCCGCTTGTGACCCTTCGTGGCCCACGTGTTTCCTTTGGTCGGCACCAACCCTTTCTGCAGGTCCTGCCACCCCAGACGCTGCCATCCGGCCCCTCCGTGTCAGGGACCCTGGCTTTGCCGCACACAACTGCTGTCCTGTGTCACTCAGCTCTGGCTGTTCCTCCCCGTGGAATGAGTGGGACAGGGCAGAACTGGATGGTTCTGCGTCAAACCAGCCACGTGATTTGAGGGGTTGACCGTCACACGTCTCGTTCTCTCTGCCACCGTGTCGCTTGCTGTCGGGCATCTTTCCTTCTGGATTCAGAAAGTGTCTGCCCTGGCAGCAACAGCCTCCTAAAACCACCCCGTGCGCTTGGGCTGGTCTCCGAATCTTCAGTGTCCCCTCTCCCCCTCCACTGGGAGCCTGTGTTCGTAGAAGGAGGATAAGTGACCCCAAACAGAGTGAGGGCAGGCAGGCAGGGGTCACAGGGGGCCGGCACAGCCCTCCTGATCGTCCGCAGACTTTCTGCAGCCCCATGAGCCCCCCCCTAACGGCCCCTAAGCCCTCAGGAGACAGAGCAGCCAGCCTATGTGTCTTCTCCTCTCTCTCACAGATTTAAGTTGCCATAGAGGTAGTAATTTGTGTTTTCCCCAGGACAGGTGGCCATAAATTGGACAGAGAAAGGCCTGGCCGTGTGACATAAATCACGCCAGGAGTGGTGTGGACAACCGTCTCCTCTCTGAGGCTCGCAGCCCCTACTGCCTTCTGTTCTCTGTGCTGCGCCGAAATTCAAGTTCTAAGCAGGGAGGCCTCTCTGCCAGCCTCGCCTCCCGAAGCCTGTCGCCCGCGGGCCAGAGGCACAGGGCAGCCTTTGTCTGGAAAACACTCCGGGCAGAGGGAAAAGGGGAGGCCTGTCTGCTACCCGGAAAATTTGAAGATGAAATTAGTCTTTTCTTTCTTAAGGCACAGTGACATCTACACTGATCCCCACAGCTTACGGAGTGGCAGCAGTTATCGCTGTGGCTTCCAAAATATCTTGTTCCTAATAGAAAGAAGAAAGCACGTTTGATTTGTGGATGCAAACGTTTTGTCGGAGGCATAAATACTGTCACAATCAGGATAGTGGCCACTGGCCACTCATGTTAGGTTGTGCTGTGCTGAGCTAGGGGCGGGAGGATGTAGTGGTGGTAACGCGCCCCACCCCGGTCTGGCTCGTCACCTGCTCATTGTGTGACGCTGACAAGTCACTTAGCTTCTTACCGTTTCCGATTCTTTGTTTGCGAAAACTGAACTAATAATACCTTTCCAGTGGATCAGAATAAGGCGATAAATATGATTAAAAAAATAGACGACGGAATACCGTGCACGGTGACCACATAGGCCGCGGTCACTGGTAGTCTGAGTTCATGAACTTGTATGAACTTGACGGCTTCTGGGAGAAGCAGCCTGGCGTCGCTTCTGTGCGTTTTCCGAGGCTACATTCAGCACGGCCCAGCCCCAGTGCGCTCGGCCTCCAGCACGCCTCTCTCCGTGGACCTTCCCGGAGTAGACGGAGAGGCCTCGGAAGGGGCCTGTGCCCCTGGGTGGGAACAGCGCAGGGACCACGGACCCACACGCATGGCTGGCGCATGGGCCAGTTAATGAATGAACCAGGCGGAGTGCGCGGCGAGTGGCCCTCACCGGTGCCCAGTACTTCACAGTTATTGGGTCCCATTCACACTGCAGCCTGAAGCACGGGGGCCTCTGTCTAAACTAAGTGGCTTGGGCCTCCTGCTCATCAGAGTGGGTGCATGTTTCGTGGTCGTTGGAAGAGAAATGCACTAAGAGAGGAGCTTTTAAATGAGTTTGTAATATATTAATTCCAACAGAACTATATATATATTTAAAAATCATAGAAGATGCATGTATGGGACGATATAGTTTTCAGTCCTAAAGCTTGGCGCGCACCTGAATTCATAACGGCTTGCGCGACCTCCTCGTCCCCACAAGGGGGCGCTGCGCACTTGATTTATCGGGTCTCCCCGGAGCCCCGCGGCGGTGGTGGCAGCAGGAGCTGAGGTCTGGCGAGAACTGGGGAGGGCTGGCCTGGCAGGCTGGCGCCAAAGGGACGCCCTGGCAGGCCGGACCACCCGAGAGCCACCTCTCCGCCCTCACAGCTTCCCATGTGTATTCCTAGACAGCGAAATGGACCGCCACCTGCGAACCAGGTGATCAGAGCTGGGCTTGTACAAGCCAGCCCCCCGCGGTTTTTCTGAGGCCTTGTCTGGACTCGGGTTTATAGATGACCAGGGTCACATGCCCAGTGGGAAGCGTCCTGGCTACGGTGCCAGGCGGACCTGGCTTCCGGTCCCAGCTTGACCTCTTAGATCTGGGCTCTTGGGTGAGGTGGTTACTCCCCTGAGGCCCCCCTGTAAAGTGGGGATAATAATACAATCCCCACTGAGGCTGGCTGTGAGGATTAAGAGATAACATCTGCGGTCTTTATAAACTGCCAGCGTGTGACACACAGAACTCAGACTCTCAGTTCCCCGCTGGGGTCATCAGAGCCTCAGACCACAGAGCTGGGCAGCTAGGAGGAATCCCAGGTCATAAAGTAGCTGATCTGCCCCTCGTCCTGAAGAGGCCGCCCTCAGACAGACACGGATCCCCCGATGCCCCTGGTGTTGCATGCTGGCAGAGGTGACGCCGCCCGGGAGAGGCGTCTCGGTTCCCAGGGTCCAGGGTCACTGACCATGGAGCGAGGGGAGACACTTGTCCAGGCAGGGCAGCCTGGGTTGGCGGCTCGTGGCTTTCATTCATTGATTTATTCATTGGTTTGTTCAGCCAACGTCTGTTTGAATGGCTGCAGTGTACCAGGCACTGTCCCAGGCGGTGGGAACACAGCAGTGGACCTGGACACGCCGCTGTCTGGGGTGGAGCTGTGGGTGTCCAGGAGCAGGCTCCAGATCGACCCTGTCTGTTTTCTCATTAGCCATTTCGAATCTGAAAAACAAAATCAGGACCAAGTTGTTGCCATAGTTTTTTTTTTTTTTAAGCATGATAGAATGAAACTCGTGCTTTCCATTAAAAATGTTTTAAATTTTAAAATGATGTAAAATTGGAGTTAGCGTAAATGAAAAACTGCAAGCAAACTTTCTCCCGGTGGAGGGGTGGGGGGAATCTTGCCACGTTATTCCCACACGTCTGCTCGCTCTTCCCAGGGCCTCTTGCAACTTCCTGACAAAGATGTTCATGCTTCTGCTAATAGAGCGTTTTACTCACCAGTGCATTCATCCATTTCGCAAATGGTTATGGGTCACTGGTGACACAGGGGGCCCAGCACTGGGTGGGAGCCGTAACAGGGAGTTAGACACAGCTTCTGCCCTCCAGGGACTCCCTGTCTTATTGAACAAGTAGCCATCCTCCCTGGCCAGTGCATGCGAGTGTTCAAGGGGCAGGCAGAGAAAATGGAGGTGGGTGTGATTATTCCTGGCTGGGGGCACTGGGCTTCCCCCTCAGAGACGTGGCCTTTGAGTTGGGCCTGGAGGGAAAGGTAGAGTTCTAATGCGCAGGGACTTGGACGAAGGACATTCCAGGGCAATGTCAGAGGAATCACTGAGCCAGTCAGACACAGAGGCGGAAGGGCATCAGGAGTCCAGTGCAATCTGCACATTGCAGGCAGAGGGCGAGGGTTTGGAGAAGCTGGCTGGGGCCGGGTGTGGACCTTGCCTGCTGGGCTGAAGGGCTGGAATGCTCTTCTTCGGGCACTGGGGAGCCACTGAACGCCCCAGCCTGGGAATGCTCAGACCGGAGCAAGACGGAGAAAGAACGATCGTGCAGGGCCAGCAGCGAGTGGACAGGGAGGGTGAGGGAGAATGAGGAACGGAGGGTGGTTACGACGTTAACGCCGTCGCCCGAGCTCGCGCGAAGCAAGCCTGTGACAGTGGGAGAAACGCAGAGCAAACTCAAACCACGGGGTGTAGGGAGGACCCCAGGGCTTGGCAACCGTGGACAAGCTAGGAGGGGCGTGGGGGGCAAAGGCGTCGGGGAAGACGCCCGGGCTCCAAGCCTGAGTGACGGGTAGGATGGTGGTGCCGGTGACTCACCTGGAGGAGTCAGGAGGACAGGTGTCTGGGAACGAGAAGGTGACAACCTATGTCAGCACGTATCAAGTACCTCCTCTCCTGAGAAAGGGAACCAACAGGAGGTGACGATGTGGGGGCGTGGCCATCGGATGCGCTTCTGCAGCGTGTCCGCTGGGGGCGCTGTTCCGC